TCTGTAATATGAACATAGTGGCATTCAGTTAGAATGCGTTCATTCCTAAGTATAGCAGATATAAGCTATAAGGCTGGATTCCTTTTAACCTTCTGTGGTGTAGCGGTAGTGACTTGACTTAGTAATCATATGTCCTAGGTTCGAGTCCCGGTCGTGGTAAAAAATGATTCATGTTTTCACATATGTAATGTGCTTATCTGGTTATTTCATGGCCAGAATGAGATTGGGAATTGAATTAAATGCTATAATGAAGATACGAGTGAGGTTGGGGAATCTGTAATATGAACATAGTGGCATTCAGTTAGAATGCGTTCATTACTAAGTATATCAGATATAAGCTATAAGGTTGGATTCCTTTTAACCTTCTGTGGTGTAGTGGTAGCGCCTTGACTTACTAATCATAAGTCCTAGGTTCGAGTCCCGGTCGGGGTAAAAAATGATACATGTTTTCACATATGTAATGTGCTTATCTGGTTATTTCATTGATTGAATGAGATTGGGAATTGAATTAAATGCTATAATGAAGGCATGAGTGAGGTTGGGGAATCTGTAATATGAACATAGTGGCATTCAGTTAGAATGCGTTCATTCCTAAGTATAGCAGTTATAAACTATAAGGTTGGATTCATTTTAACTTTCTGTGGTGTAGTGGTATCGCCTTGACTTAGTAATCATAAGTCCTAGGTTCGAGTCCCGGTCGGGGTATAAAATAATTCATGTTTTCACATATGTAATGTGCTTATCTGGTTATTTCATGGCCCGAATGAGATTGGGAATTGAATTAAATGCTATAATGAAGCTACGAGTGAGGTTGGGGAATCTGTAATATGAACATAGTGGCATTCAGTTAGAAAGCGTTCATTCCTAAGAATAGCAGATATAAGCTATAAGGTTGGATTCCTTTTAACCTTCTGTGGTGTAGTGGTAGCGCCTTGACTTAGTAATCATAAGTCCTAGGTTCGAGTCTCAGTTGGGGTAAAAAATGATTCATGTTTTCACATATGTAATGTGCTTATCTGATTGATTCATGGCCCGAATGAGATTGGGAATGGAATTATATGCTATAATGAAGCCATGAGTGAGGTTGAGGAATCTGTAATATGAACATAGTGGCATTCAGTTAGAATGCGTTCATTCCTAAGTATAGCAGATATAAGCTATAAGGTTGGATTCCTTTTAACCTTCTGTGGTGTAGTGGTAGCGCCTTGACTTAGTAATCATAAGTCCTAAGTTCGAGTACCGGTCGAGGCAAAAAATGATTCATGTTTTCACATATGTAATGTTCTTAATTGGTTATTTCATGGCCAAAATGAGATTGAGAATTGAATTAAATGCTATAATGAAGAAACGAGTACGGTTGGGGAAGCTGTAATATGAACATAGTGGCATTCAGTTAGAATGCTTTCATTCCTAAGTATAGCAGATATAAGCTATAAGGTTGGATTCCTTTTAACCTTCTGTGGTGTAGTGGTAGCGCCTTGACTTAGTAATCATAAGTCCTAAGTTCGAGTACCGGTCGAGGCAAAAAATGATTCATGTTTTCACATATGTAATGTTCTTAATTGGTTATTTCATGGCCAAAATGAGATTGAGAATTGAATTAAATGCTATAATGAAGAAACGAGTACGGTTGGGGAAGCTGTAATATGAACATAGTGGCATTCAGTTAGAATGCGTTCATTCCTAAGTATAGCAGATATAGGCTATAAGGTTGGATACCTTTTAACCTTCTGTGGTGTAGTGGCAGCGCCTTGACTTAGTAATCATAAGTCCTAGGTTCGAGTCCCGGTCGGGGTATAAAATGATTCATGTTTTCACATATGTAATGTGCTTATCTGGTTATTTCATGGCCCGAATGAGATTGGGAATTGATTTAAATGCTATAATGAAGCCACTAGTGAGGTTGGGGAATCTGTAATATGAACATAGTGGCATTCAGTTAGAATGCGTTCATTCCTAAGTATAGCAGATATAAGCTATAAGGTTGGATACCTTTTAACCTTCTGTGGTGTAGTGGTAGCGCCTTGACTTAGTAATCATATGTCCTAGGTTCGAGTCCCGGTCGTGGTAAAAAATGATTCTTGTTTTCACATATGTAATGTGCTTATCTGGTTATTTCATGGCCCGAATGAGATTGGGAATTGAATTAAATGCTATAATGAAGATACGAGTGAGGTTGGGGAATCTGTAATATGAACATAGTGGCATTCAGTTAGAACGCGTTCATTCCTAAGTATATCAGATATAAGCTATAAGGTTGGATTACTTTTAACCTTCTGTGGTGTAGTGGTAGTGCCTTGACTTACTAATCATAAGTCATAGGTTCGAGTCCCGGTCGGGGTAAAAAATGATTCATGTTTTCACAAATGTAATGTGCTTATCTGGTTATTTCATTGACTGAATGAGATTGGGAATTGAATTAAATGCTATAATGAAGGCATGAGTGAGGTTGGGGAATCTGTAATATGAACATAGTGGCATTCAGTTAGAATGCGTTCATTCCTAAGTATAGCAGTTATAAACTATAAGGTTGGATTCATTTTAACCTTCTGTGGTGTAGTGGTATCGCCTTGACTTAGTAATCATAAGTCCTAGGTTCGAGTCCCGGTCGGGGTATAAAATGATTCATGTTTTCACATATGTAATGTGCTTAATTGGTTATTTCATGGCCCGAATAAGATTGGGAATTGAATTAAATGCTATAATGAAGCTACGAGTGAGGTTGGGGAATCTGTAATATGAACATAGTGGCATTCAGTTAGAATGCGTTCATTCCTAAGTATAGCAGATATAAGCTATAAGGTTGGATTCCTTTTAACCTTCTGTGGTGTAGTGGTGGCGCCTTGACTTAGCAATCATAAGTCCTAGGTTCGAGTCCCAATTGGGGTAAAAAATGATTCATGTTTTCACATATGTAATGTGCTTATCTGATTGATTCATGGCCCGAATGAGATTGGGAATTGAATTACATGCTATAATGAAGCCACGAGTGAGGTTGGGGAATCTGTAATATGAACATAGTGGCATTCAGTTAGAATGCGTTCATTCCTAAGTATAGCAGATATAAGCTATAAGGTTGGATTCCTTTTAACCTTCTGTGGTGTAGTGGTAGCGCCTTGACTTAGTAATCATAAGTACTAGGTTCGAGTCCCGGTCGGTGTAAAAAATGATTCATGTTTTCACATATGTAATGTGCTTATCTGGTTATTTCATGGCCCGAATGAGATTGGGAATTGAATTAAATGCTATAATGAAGCCACGAGTACGGTTGGGGAATCTGTAATATGAACATAGTGGCATTCAGTTAGAATGCGTTCATTCCTAAGTATAGCAGATATAAGCTATAAGGTTGGATTCCTTTTAACCTTCTGTGGTGTAGTGGTAGCGCCTTGACTTAGTAATCATAAGTCCTAGGTTCGAGTACCGGTCGAGGCAAAAAATGATTCATGTTTTCACATATGTAATGTTCTTAATTGGTTATTTCATGGCCAGAATGAGATTGAGAATTGAATTAAATGCTATAATGAAGATACGAGTGAGGTTGGGGAATCTGTAATATGAACATAGTGGCATTCAGTTAGAATGCGTTCATTCCTAAGTATAGCAGATATAAGCTATAAGGTTGGATTCCTTTTAACCTTCTGTGGTGTAGTGGTAGCGCCTTGACTTAGCAATCATAAGTCCTAGGTTCGAGTCCCGGTTGGGGTAAAAAATGATTCATATTTTCACATATGTAATGTGCTTATCTGATTGACTCATGGCCCGAATGAGATTGGGAATTGAATTACATGCTATAATGAAGCCACGAGTGAGGTTGGGGAATCTGTAATATGAACATAGTGGCATTCAGTTAGAATGCGTTCATTCCTAAGTATAGCAGATATAAGCTTTAAGGTTGGATTCCTTTTAACCTTCTGTGGTGTAGTGGTAGCGCCTTGACTTATTAATCATAAGTCCTAGGTTCGACTCCCGGTCGGTGTAAAAAATGATTCATGTTTTCACATATGTAATGTGCTTATTTGGTTATTTCATGGCCCGAATGAGATTGGGAATTGAATTAAAAGCTATAATGAAGCCACGAGTACGGTTGGGGAATCTGTAATATGAACATTGTGGCATTCAGTTAGAATGCGTTCATTCCTAAGTATAGCAGATATAAGCTATAAGGCTGGATTCCTTTTAACCTTCTGTGGTGTAGTGGTAGCGCCTTGACTTAGTAATCATAAGTCCTAGGTTCGAGTAACGGTCGAGGACAAAAAATGATTCATGTTTTCACATATGTAATGTGCTTAATTGGTTATTCATGGCCCGAATGATATTGGGAATTGAATTAAATGCTATAATGAAGCCACGAGTACGGTTGGGGAATCTGTAATATGAACATAGTGGCATTCAGTTAGAATGCGTTCATTCCTAAGTATAGCAGATATAAGCTATAAGGTTGGATACCTTTTAACCTTCTGTGGTGTAGTGGTAGTGCCTTGACTTAGTAATCATAAGTCCTAGGTTTGACTCTCGGTAGGGGTAAAAAATGATTCATGTTTTCACATATGTAATGTGCTTATCTGGTTATTTCATGGCCCGAATGAGATTGGGAATTGAATTAAATGCTATAATGAAGCCACGAGTGAGGTAGGGAATCTGTAATATGAACATTGTGTAATTCAGTTAGAATGCGTTCATTCTTAAGTATAGCAGATATAAGCTATAAGGTTGGATTCCTTTTAACCTTCTGTGGTGTAGTGGTAGCGCCTTGACTTAGTAATCATAAGTCCTAGGTTCGAGTCCCGGTCGGGGTAAAAAATTATTCATGTTTTCACATATGTAATGTGCTTATCTGGTTATTTCATGGCCCGAATGAGATTGGGAATTGAATTAAATGCTATAATGAAGCCATGAGTGAGGTTGGGGAATCTGTAATATGAACACAGTGGCATTCAGTTAGAATGCGTTCATTCCTAAGTATAGCAGATATAAGCTATAAGGTTGGATTCCTTTTA